GCTGGGCAACTGCAGGCAAGAGCCTCAGCCCTCAGTGTGCCCATCTGTGAAACAGCAGACCACTAGTGCTGGCTTCAGCTCCCAGATCTACAGTGGTCGCTGGGGGACAGCTGGGGAAAAGGGTCCTGGCTCCGGAACTCGCCGAGTGATGAGCAAGCGCTCCTGCCTCCCACACTAATGACTGGATTCAGCCCACAGTGCTTGCTCTGTGCCTCAAAATGGAGCCTGTTAGCTATACCCACTGGAGCTGCTCCCACAGAGCAGGGGAAGGGAGGGACCCCCAGCAGCCTGGCATTGAAGCACCAGCCACAGCCATGACCATCACTGCTACTCACGTGTCCAAGCCTCTCACCTCTCACAGCCCCCGCCTTCCTGGAACCAGGGGAAGCACAGGGGTCTCCCATCTCCTTATCATTTAGGGTGCTGCCGGAGGATCCCATCGCTGCTCTGTGTCACATGGAGCTCGCTCTCCATCAGACCTGACAAGGAGCAGGAGATACAGCCTGAGCTCCTGCCAGCCCTGGTGTAAGCCCTGCCTGCTGCTTTCCAACCTCCATGCATCTGAGCCCACCCACGAGAAATCATCTGCCTTCATGTGCTTAAAGAGGTCACACTTCCACCCAGCTGGGCCAGAGGCCAAGCTGGAATTTTCCTACAGGCAATGGGCCAAGTCCTATGTTGCCTTGGGGGAAAGAAAGGTGGGGGCGAGGGCCTCGTGATGCTGAGACATCAGGGTGTCATCACCCTTTTGGTGGGGTTTATTTTACCGGAGCAAGTTCCTCTGAGCTAGACCCTGGTGTGTTGGGATATTAGGCAGGCAACGCTCCAAAAGCAGCGGCACCCAGCAGAGAAGACAAAGACATCCTCACTACCCAACTTGTTTCCTCCTAATCTGTCCTCATGGCTTGAGGCTCTCATTCCTTTGCCATGGCATGGGGTGTTGGATACAATTTGGGTTCAGATGTCTGTATTCTCGCCCACGGGTCTGAAAAAGCACGGTCAGTGGAGCCAGGAGCAGGGAAACTGAGTCATGTCCTGTGACCACTGGCTCATTTCTCTGAGCCAATGATCTCTCTGCAAATGGAACAGGTAAACTGAGTCACACTCAGTGCCCATTGCTCTTTCCTGGAGTTGCCTAATTAGCCTGGGGTGTGATGGCTGGCCTATGCCTACCCTAACCCTAACATCCCCTCCCCTCCCTATGCCTGGGCCTTGGCAGGCCAGATCTAGCCTTTGGGCTACACCCTTCTGGAGATCATCGAATCATAAAAAGTTAGGCTTGGAAGGGACCTCAGGAGGTCACATCTAGTCCAACCCCCTCCTCAAAGCAGGACCAGCCCCAATTAGATCATCCTAGCCAAAGCTTTGTCTAGCCCGGTTTTGAAAATCCCCAAGAACCTTCCACCACCTCTGGGTAACTTGTTCCAGTGTTTTACTACCCTCCTAGTGAGAAAATTCTTCCTAATATCTACCTAAACTTCCCTTGCTGCAACTTGAAACTGTTGCTCCTTGTTCTGTCATCTGCCACCACTGAGAACAGTCTAGCTCAGGAGCAGGCAAAATATGGCCTGTGGATGTATGGCTGTGGACGTAGTCTTCTAGACTTTAAGGCGGTCTTTGACACTGTCTTTCACCCCATCCTCATCAATAAATTAAGCGACTGTGGCATTGATGCCTGCACAGTTGGATGGGTAAAAAATTGGCTGATGGGGCGCACGCAGAAAGTAGTGGTGGACGGGTTGTACTCAACCTGGCGAGATGTGAGCAGTGGGGTATCCCAGGGCTCAGTCCTCGGGCCCGCACTGTTTAACATCTTCATCAGCGACTTGGACAAGGGGGTGGAAAGCACGCTGTCCAAATTTGCTGATGACACTAAGATGTGGGGCGAGGTGGACACAATTGAAGGGAGAGAGAGGCTGCAACTAGATTTAGACAAACTACAATAGTGGGCAGATGAGATTCCAAAGGTCCTTGTTAATATAAATGTCCTACCATTCTCTGAATTTTGCAAAGAGCATCCAGTGGCAATAGATGCCACAGTACTCAAAGACTATACCAGCTTAGCCTGACATTTCACGGATTTCATAGACATCAGGGCTGGAAGGGACCTCAGGAGATCATAGAGTCCAGTCCCCTGCCCCAAGGGCAGGAAGTCAGCTGGGGTCAAAGGATCCCAGCAAGATAAATGTTCAAACGCTTCTTAAAGGAGTCCAGAGTAGGTGCTTGGGAGTCTGTTCCAGGCCTTGGGGGCTTGAACAGTAAAGAAGTTTTTTCTTATGTCCAGCCTAAAATGGTCTTGAAGGAGTGCCTACAAGCTCATCAAGGGGGATCAACAGCAAATAGGCAGAGTTCTTTTCTCCCCAGCACCACCTTGGGTGACGAGGAACAATGGTCATAAGCTGATGGAGAATAGGTTTAGGTCGGATATCAGAAGGCAATATTTTACAGTTAGGGTGGCCAAAATCTGGAACCAGCTTCCCAGGGAAGGGGTCCTCAGGCTACCTTGGGCATATTCAAGAGGAGGTTGGACAATCATCTGTCTGGGGTCTTGTGACCCCAGCATTCATTCCTGCCTGTGGCAGCGGGTCAGGCTAGATGATCTGTTCAGGTCCCTCCTGACCCTAGCTACTGTGAAACTGCTATTAAGTCTCCTCTCAGTCTCCTCTTCACTAGACTAAATAAGCACAGTTCCCTCAGCCTTTCCTCAGAAATCTTGCCCCCTAGACCCTGAACTATTTTTGTCGCCCTCTGCTGGACTCTCTCCAATTTGTCCACATCCTTTTTGTAATGGGGGGGCCCAAAACTGAACTCAGTACTCCAGATGCAGCCTTACCAGTGCTGAATAGAGGGGAATAATCACTTCCCTTGACCTGCTGGCAACACACCTACTAATGTAGCCCAGGATGCTGTTAGCTTTCGTGGCAACTGTGGTACACCGCTGACTCATTCAGCTTATTGTCCACAGTAACCCTCATGTCCTTTTCTGCAGAACTGCTTCCCAGTCAGTCAGCCCCCACTGGAGAGAAACCAGATGAGGGGGTGGCTGTCTCTGAGCCTGGACAGGCCTATGTACCCCCTCAGCAGCTACTGGGCTGCAGCCGTCATGGAAGAAATAAGCTGCAACCAGCTAATACATGGGATAGAGGCTGGGAAGGCAATGGGCTGGGTGCTTTGACAATGAAAGAGCATCAGCTCCATCAGCTTGGACAAATCTAGTGCCCCCCCTGTCCCACTGGCTGCTCTGCTTTCTGCTCCCTGCCCAAAGGCCCCAGCAGGGGGATCTCAGAGCCCCGAGTAGTCGCATGTCCCAAGCCAAGACAGGTGAAGTGCTGAAGGACTGGGAAAGGCCCGAAGATGGCACACAGGTGGGCACAAGCACACATGTGAACACATTACTACACATGGTTGCCATGTGACATGTTTCTAGCCATGTCTGGCAGGTGTCCCCAGCCCAGGGAGGCAGACCAGACACTGGGTATCACTGGTTCTGCTGCCATCTCTGCAGCCTCTGGGTGTTCCCAGCCAGGCAGCACCCCCTGGTGGTGGGAATGGGGCAATATAGGGAGCTTGGATCGTCTGGACACACAGCAGGGACCCTGGCTGGACGGTAGGGAGCTGACAGGTTCACCCCAGAAAACTGAGGCATGCAGGTACCATGAACTTGTTTCACAGCTCCCTGCCCCACCAGCTGCAATGCTTTCACCTTGCCTGCTCTGTGCCCCCTACCCTATCGGCTGCTGCACGCTTTCCTTTTGTCTGCTCTGCTCTTCGCTCCCTGCCAGATCTGCTCCTCTGCTCTGTGCCTCATGTCCCTCTGCCCCACTGGCTGCTTTGTGCTCCCTGCTTGATCTGCTGCTCTCCTTTCTACCCTGTGCCCAAAGGTCCTGGGTAGTTGCCTGTCTTGGCTTGGGACAGAAAGTGCTGGAGGACTGGGAAAGGCCCAAAGACAGGACATGGGGGCAGGGGGGCACAGGCACACACATGAACACACATTACCACACACGGTTGCCACATGTTGTCACGCATTTTCTAGCCATGCCCTGCAGGTGCCCCTGGCCCAGGGAGGCGGACCCAACCTTGGGTGTTACTGGTTTCTCTCTAATCCCTGGTGCTTTGGGGTATTCCCAGTCTGACACCACCCCCTGGTGGCGGGAAAGGGGCAATGCAGGAAGCCAGAATTTTCTGAATGCAGTGGGGACCATGGATGGAGCAGACAATGCCTTCACCCCCACCCTGGCAGGGAAACTGAAGCATGTGGGCACCATGGTCTCAGTTTTACAGCTCCCTTGTGCGCCCTGCCCCATCGGCTGCTCTACTTTTTGGTCCCAGCCCTATGCTCCTGCCTCAATCTGATGTTCTGCTTTCTGCACTTTGCCCTGTTCCCCTGCCCCATCAGTTGCTCTGCTTTCCATTCTCTGCACTGCACTTAATGCCCCACTGGCTGCTCTGCTTAGAGCCCCATCCACTGTTCTGCTTTTCACTCCCTGCCCCTTCCCTATCCCACTGATTGCACTGCTCCCTGCATTG